ATGACCCCGAGCTCTATTACAGACAAGATCACTCCCTATGAAAAGTGGATCAACAAGAAACCATCCGCACAATATATCAAGGTATTTGGATGCTCTGCATATGCACACATATCGGAATTATACCGAAACAAACTCGAAAAACGAGCAAAGAAGTGCATGTATCTGGGCATTCCACCCAATAAGAAAGGATACCGACTGCTGGAAACAACGGAAAATAGGATTATATGCAGTCGTGATGTCATCTTTCGAGAAAAAAAGTTCCCCAAACTGGAATTTTTAAATTCGCAAACCACGATCAACGTACTCAGTCCTCTAACCCAAGAAGTAAAAGGGCTGCAACATCCGCAACATCTCCCACCTCTAGCTGAAATGCTAAAGCGGAAGAAAATAGATCTGCACAGAAGAAAGCAAATAACCTTACAAAAGATGACGAAGTAAACTCTCTCTTTGAACTGCTCAACAATCCCCTTGATGTCGAAGAACGACAAACTCTTGTTACTCAGACATACTCGTTGCTTGCTATCCGGCCTATATCGGAACTAAAAACGTACAATGAAGCAATGCAACTCCCTGAAGCTGCTCAGTGGAAATCTGCAGCACGGTCTGAATACAAGTCCTTAATGGAAAACAAAACGTGGGTTCTTGCAAAATTACCAAAAGGTCGAAAGGCATTGCAATATCGCTGGGTATTTGTTGTCAAATACAAAGGAAATGGCAAAATTGACCGCTACCAAGCACGCCTTGTTATCAAAGGATTCTTGCAGAAGCATGGCATTGACTACGACGAGATGTTCTCTCCGGTCGTCCGCATGGAAGTTCTCAGACTTCTTCTGACGATTGCCGCACTACTTGACCTGGAAATACATCAAATGGACGTGAAAACCGCGTTCCTTAACGGATTCCTCGACGAAGAGATCTACATGGTACAGCCCGAAGGATTTTCTGTCCGAGGGAAAGAAGGACTCGTGTGTAAGTTGCTTAAAAGCCTATATGGTCTCAAGCAAGCACCTCGAATATGGTATCTTACGCTCTGTGCATTCTTAACTTCGATGAAATTTCGGAAACTGGTAAAAGACCAATGTGTCTTTGTCGGAAAAGTTGATGGACACACGTGCTACATACTTGTGTACGTTGATGATCTTCTCATCATTGCTCCGAC